TTTACTCACGAAAGCTTATGCCCAAATAAATCTGTTAGTCTTTAAGGTGCCACCAGATTCCTTGTTGTTTTTGTAGATACAGACTAACACGGCTACCCCCTGATACTTGACAGAGATTTATGTCCTGAGTGAATTTAGGTGCCTACAGGGATAGGTGTCAGCCAAGCAGGGGATTGTGGATCACGGTGCCTAAAACGGGGATTGTGGCTGGAGTTTAGGTGCCTAAGACTCTTTGTAGATCAGAACCATAATGCGATTCTGAGATAAAAGCTGAGGGAGGTTGTGGAATCTCCATCATGAGAGCAGGTTAGACAAACACCCACCAGAGATGGTCTAGATCAGAGTGGGCAAACTACGGCCCGCGGGCCACATTCGGCCTGCAGGACCATCCTGCCTGGCCCTTGAGCTCCCGGCCAGGGAGGCTAGCCCCCGGCCTCTCCCCTGCTGTTCCCCCTCCCCTGCAGCCATGCCGCCGTGTGGGCAGCTCTCAGGGTGGCAGAGCTGCGCGCTTCTGCAGAGCAGAGCGGCAGCGTGTCTAGCTCTGGCCGGGAGGTGCGGCTGCCATACATGCTGCTCTAAGCAGCATGGTATGGGGGCAGGGAGCTGAGGGGTTGGATAAGGGGCGGGGGTCCCGGGGCCAGTCAGGGGACAGGGAGCAGTTGGATGGGGCGGAAGTTCTGGGGGGTGGTCAGGGGATGGGGGAGGGGGGTTGAATGAGCGTGGGAGTCCCGGGGGGCCTGTCATGGGGCGGGGGTGTGGATAGGGGTTAGAGCAGTCAGGGGACAGGGAGCAGGGGGGTTGGATGGGGGTGGGATCCCAAGGGGGCGGTTAGGGGACAAGGAGCAGGGGGGGTTGTATGGGTCGGGGGTTCTGAGGGGGGCAGTCGGGGGGCGGGAAGTGGGAGGGGGAGAATAGGGGGTGGGGGGCCAGGCAGTTTGGGGAGGCACAGCCTTCCCTACCCGGCCCTTCATACAGTTTCGCACCCCAATGTGGCCCTCGGGCCAAAAAGTTTGCCCACCCCTGGTCTTGATAATACTTAGTCCTTCCATGAGTGCAGGAGACTGGCCTAGATGACCTCTCAAGGTCCCTTCCAGTCCTACGATTCTATGATTAGTGTGGGGTTAAGGTGGAGAGGACGTACTTGTAATTTAAGGGAAAAGCACATTACAGGGATCTTGTAATTATCCCCGAACCAAGTGTTATAAACTCAGGAAATACAGAACTAAGGTTAAATTTAAAAGAAATCCAAACATGCCATGGTGTAGAAATGCAGCTAAGTCACCTAAGCAACCTTAACTCTGCCCTATAGTAACTTTATGAGGGGAAAATAAACAAAAACCAAAAAACCCAGCATGCCTTTAGAAATCAGTTTCATTTAATATAGACCCCCCCACACACACAGCTCTGTATTGACCAGACCTGTGCGGTTATTGTGCGGAGTCGCTGCAGGCTGAAGCTGAGGTTGTGGGTGCGCATGGTCACTGAGGGTGAAATCCTGCCCCCTCCCACATTACATGGGCATGGAAGGGCCAGAACACAGGGGGTTCCCAGGTGAGGGATCCTGTTAAATACTGGACAAGTCTCTGTGGGTTTGTCTACACTAAAAAAAAAAAAAAAACCCTGTGGCAGTTGGCCTCTGAGCCAGGCTTGTGAGGCTCACACAGTACAAATGTTCCCACTCAGGCTGGAACCTGGGCTCTGACACCCAGTGAGGAGGGAAGGGGGATGTCTCAGAGCAGGAATGGCTACATTGCTAGATTTAGCCTTGTAGCGTGAGCTCCAGTCAGCTGACCCAGGCTCTTAGACTTGTGGGCACGGGTGGTTTTTTGCACTGTACACGTACCCACAGTCTCCAGCAACGAGAGTGACCGAGCTGGGGTAGTGTATTCAGGTTCCTGGGCTCAAGGTGCCATTTCTGTAATTCCCGTGGGGTTTATTAGATCAAATGATCCCTTCCCCTTCAAAGCCCCTTTGCGTCAGTGCGAGCAGCCCCTGAGCTCACTGCTTGGGCTCTGGTGTCGAGATGGAGATGTTCCCCACCACTCATTCAAACAGGCTGTAACTCCACCTGCTAAAATTGAGCTAAAAGTGTTAAACTGTGACTCCACTGGCATTAAATGTGACTTTCAATTGAGTTAAGGTGGCTCAACTGAGCTAACTTGACTGACATGACATGAAATCTTCAACCTATCGGATCCCATTCATCCCAGACACTGACCTTTCTGTCTCTTCATCTCAGATTGCAGAGCCTCTAGAAGGAGAAGAAAAGGGAGAGACATGAGATTCTCCCTGTCGTGTTTATAACGGTAACCCCACAGCTAACGTAACTGGTCCAGACACTGACCTTTCTGCCTCTCCATCTCAGATCGCAGAGTCTCTAGAGGGAGAAAAGAGGGAGAGGTGAGACTTCCCCCGTCGTCTTTATGGGGATAGACTTAATATTGTAACAGACACTGACCTTTCTCTCTCTCCCGTTCAGACAGCAGGGTCTCTAGAGAGAGAACAGGGTGAGAGGTGATTCATCAATTCACAGATTCCCAGGCTAGGAGGGACCATTGTGATCACCTAGTCTGACCCCTGCATAACATAAGCCAGGGGTTTTTCCCACAATAATTCCTACAGCAGATCGTTTAGAAAAACATCCAGTCTTGGTTAAAAACTGCCAGTGCTAGAGAATCCACCACGACCCTTGGCATGGGCAGTGGGTATAATAGGCTAGGGGAGGCTCAGCCTCCCCTGGCACTGCCGTGGCCACCGGACCCCACATGTGGGGTTTTGGGGGGGAAGTTTTTGATTTATTATGCCCCATGCAGGTTCCGGGGTGGTGGAGGAGGTGGTATGTGCTATTCAGCTTCCTGGTTTCATCAGTAATCTCCCTGGACTGGAGATTACTGTGGAACCCAGGAAGATGAGTAGCACATACCGCCTCTTCAGCCGCCCCAGAACCTGGCATGGGGCATAGCAAAAGTGTCTTCCAGACCTGAGAGATGTTTTTCCCCAGGCAGCTTGGGGTCTGGGAAGGGGAGGCACAGCACTGAGGGGTCTGGGGAGGGGAGGGCTCGGGGCTTCAGCCGGCCTGGAACTCAGCACAGCCAAGGGAGGGGGTGCTTGGCTGCGGGACGGGGGGGGCACAGGTGGAAGAGGTGGAGCTGGGGCTAGCTTCCCCAAAGGGAGGCTCCACCCGCCGCCCATGACGCTCAGTAAATTGTTACAATGAATAATTAATAATGGCTGGCAAATTTTCACCCTGTTGTGTTTATGGGGATAACTCTACTGCCAACTAATGTGATGGGCCCAGACACTGACCTTTCTCGGTCTCCTTATCCAATCGCAGGGTCTCTAGAGGGAGAAAAGGGCGAGAGGAGAGATTTCACCATGATGTTTAAGGCGCACTTCCTGCTATTAATGTAGTTGTGCTGTAACTATGAAAGTGAGGCAGACAGACTGACAAACAGGACACACAGACAGATCTGTCTCAACATCTCTGCAGCCAGCATCCCCACTGCCTCGGGGGGGGGGGTCTCTCTTTTTGTCCAGTTCCTTGCCTACTCCCGTCTGGCCCATCCCCTGAACAGCCCCAGCAATTTCCCCACCCCCACCCCCCAGTTCCTGACTGTGGGGATGGAGGATGGAAGTGAGCGGTAGGAATGGTGTCCCTAGCCTCGGTCTGTCAGAGGGTGGAGATGGATGGCAGGAGAGAGATCACTTGATCATTATCTGTTAGGTTCACTCCCTCTGAGGCACCTGGCATTGGCCACTGTCGGTAGACAGAATACTGGGCTAGATGGACCTTTGGTCTGACCCGGTACGGCCTTTCCTATGTTCTTATGTTCTTATGACCTGGGCTGGGAAAGGGATAGGATCTGATTGGCTCCATTCTAGGCCAGCTCCTGACCCTGTGGCAGGTGCCTATCCCCCGGTCTTAGTGATACATGGGAACAGCTCCCCCTAGGGCCTGGGTAAATGGGCGTGCCCCAGGTAAGAACAGGGTGGAGATGCCTTTCTTTAGCTGGGTGCTCAGGTCAGCATGAGCCAAGGAGGGGTGTGTGGATGGGCCCCTAGAGGCATCACCTCTAAGATCAGCTCTTTCCCACTGGGAGCTCGTCCCATTGATGTGTCAGCCCTGGGGTACCAACACTGCTTGAAATGGAGGTAGTGTCATGTCTGTCAGTCACTGCTGAGAACAACCTGATGGAGACCATCTTGTGACCCAGGGTGAGCAGCGTCTCAGACCAGCTATGCAAGTCCTGAGTGTGTTTGTGTTATTACAGCATCCTAGCCTCACAGCTCACCAGTGCAGCTGGTGCAGAGAATTCTCTGAAAGGCCAGGGAACAGGACAGTGACAGTTAATTGTTCTGACTGTTTAATAGTTCAAAATGAGCCCAACAGAGTTCTCTCTCTCTCTGGGCATGACTTTGACATACAACTCAAAATGAGTGTATCCCTGTCACCTAAACGTGTACTCAACCCACATAAAAACAACAGAGTCTTGTGGCACCTTAAAGACTAACAAATTTATTAGAGCATAAGCTTTTGTGGGCTTCAGCCCACTTCTTCAGATGTAGAAGTTTAAACTTAAACTTCTACATCTGAAGAAGTGGGATGAAGCCCACAAAACTTTATGCTCTAATAAATGTGTTAGTCTTTAAGGTGCCACAAGACTCTTTGTTGTTTTTGCTGAAACAGACTAACACGGCTACCACTCTGAACCTTGTCAACCCACATAATGTATTTGTTAACTAAAGCCACTAACTAAACCAGTTCACACCTGGTGCTGACAGAGTGTGTAGGTGACAGTTCTAAAGGTGCAACACCCAGTTCCAACTTTCACAAGTACAAAGCTCCTTTCTGCTTCTCTCAATTATCCGCTTCCATCCTGACTGGGAAATCATTGGAACAGACATTTCCCCTTCCCAATTCTTCCAACACTTGTACATTTCTACATAACTTTCACAGCCCTTCAGGTGAGAAAACCCTCTGGGTTGGACTTTCACAGCTGCCTTGGGGGTTTGCACACTCAGTATCCATTAATTTAAACAAAAATTGGGCATTCAGACCCCTTAGGCAGCTATGAAAATTCCAGCATCACTATAAACATATAGATCACTGAAGGGCAGTTCTGCCCTTTGTGACTGGAGAAAAAACTACAGCTGAGCACTAGAGAGTCCATTGCCCTGTGTACCCTGCTGGCTGACACTCAGAGCCCAGGGCTACGAGGTCCAGATCCACACCCTGATCGTCGGAGCCCTGGGCATGTGGGACCCCAACAACAAGCCGGTGCTGAGAGCGTGCAGAGTTGGTCGACACTATGCCCGGCTAATGGGGCAGCTTATGGTATCCGATGCCATCAGATGGTCTAGGGACATATACACTGAACACATCACAGGACACCAACAATACCAGAACCAGACCGCTGACAAGGGACACAGTCGGGGAAATAACTCATTTCCTTCCCTGACAGACTGTATCTGTCTATAGAAGACCCACAAGACACCGATGGACCAAGGGACAAACTCCACCCCATGTACCAATCCACTTTACTGCTACTGACTCTGACTCTATGCACTCTATGGGTGGCGTACCCGAGAACACTTATTCCCTACCACTTAAAGCCACACACATTAGTCTGGGACAATGCTTGTTATGTATCCTACGTATCTTGTCAGCTTTGTAACCAAGACTTTTAATTTTTCATAACCCAAGCTTGACCCCAGATGTACAGTGCCTTTTCTTTAAACCTGTGTAACGTGAATTTGATTTCAAACATTAGTTTTAATAAAATATTTGGATCTCAGGCAGAGCAAATCTGAGTGTAGATAAGTTCTAACCTTTCCATTTGCACAGCCACTGCTTTGCCCATCCACAGCTCCTACTCACAAGCACAGACTGGGGGGGCAGAGTTGGGCCCTAACAAACCCCTCTTCTACTTCGCTTTCTGTTTTTCTTGCCAGCAGCCAAGTTCCATATGTCGGGGCTCCAAGCCCAGCTCACTGAGCCCCACATGGTGTTTCAAACAGAGCTGTGTGGATCCCCAGGGAACAGTTCAGAGCCACACTCGCTCTGGATCCCGGAGTGAGATCTGAAGGGCTGAAACCACTTGACAATTCTTGGTTCAAACATGATCATAATTTCTTCAGATCCCTCTTCACCCTCAGCCCGGCTCCCACTGCCTGAAACTTCTCTGGACAGTGAATCAAAGCCCCTTAATCCCTGTCTCTTGACTTTTGGTTTTGTTTTAAATCTTTGTCTGTCTCTCATCAAGTTCCCTCCACCCCTCTCATTACATCACCTTTCACTCTGCGTTGCCTCCAGAAGCAGTAACCGGCCAGGGCCATGAGAACAGCCAGGAGAGCCAGGATCAGACCCAGAGCCACCGTCCAGGGATTGACCCTTGGGAAAAACAGCTCTGCAAGAGAAAGTGCCATTGACTAGGGAGCAAACACGCGCAGAATGAAGGCAGGACACAGTGACAGTGGTGACACTATGACTAGTTAAAAGAGTCTCACAGGGACTACACAGGGAGATGTTGCTCCTTTGTGCTTTATTATTAAGCCAATGGAAGCCCAAGCTTTAGCCTGGTTACTGAACATAGTTAATTAATGGGAGGGGGCGTGTTGAGGATAGGGAGGGTTAAGGTGCAACTCCATTATGCTACCCCTATCCCCCACTGGCATAAATTCAAGCATTCCCTAGGTTGCTGTAAGTGATCCCAAGGCTGCAGTCAGTGCAGACTGGCCCTCAGAATCAGATAGCTGTGACCAGCTTCCTGACACCCCCAACTCTCCTGTGCTCCCAGGGGCTCAGCTACATGAAAGTGTCTGGACCAAAATAAGCTAATGAAGGATTTTAATAAAAACAAAACTTGAGCCTATAGATTCAGAATAAAAATTCCTCCAAAGTCCTCTTCCCTGGGCCTTGGAGCAATGGCTGACTAGAGGGTTCTCTGCTACATGATTAGTATTGAAAACTGTGTAAAAATTACAAGATGACACTTGAAATCCTGAGGGGATTCCTGGTCGTGCTTGCAGGCTAAAGGGCTCTGTAGGGAGCATGCATCTGGGTCCTCTGCAGTCAGTCTGCAAAGAGCCAGCCTAGAGCAGGGTAGGTTTGGTTCTGCCTCTCTGCCTTAGGGAGCAGCCTGCTTTGTCTCTCTCTGTATTTGGCTGTGGTATGTTAGAGTTCTGGATTCTTAGAAATAAAGCAGTCCTACATTGCAGCCTTTTGGGAACATTATTTATGTTTTGTTTGTAACTCTCTCTGTGTGTGCTGTGAACATAACAATCAGGTATTTTCAGCTGTAATCTAAGTAGCAATGCTCAAACCATATTCAGGGCTCTCTTGTGCTGTTCAGGAAAAATGACTTTATTACCCATATTTTCATAAATACTCAGCACCCAGCTGCTCTTCCTGAGAACAGAGAATTCCCTCTCCCACCCCCATTGAGAACTGTGATGGTCACAGCACTCAAAGACGTTAGATACAAACATAAATACTCCTGCTGGAAGGTTGCAGCCTAACACGACTTTATGTCTTAGAATCCAGAACTTTAAGACACAAGAACCCAAAACAGAGCAGGGGGGCTGCTCCCTCTAAGTCAGCGGGCACAACTCACCCCACCTTGCTTTATGGTGGCTTGTCTATAGGCACAGTTAGTGCGCGGCAGGCTGGGATGTAAATCCACATCGCACTAGCCTGCTGTGCCCTAACTGGCTGTGTGCACCCTGCTGCACTGCACTAAAAGTTCCCTGGTGCACTTTGATCTGTTCCTGTTTCAAAGTGGGGCAGATCAAAGTGCACTATGGAATCGTTAGTGCATGTAGCAGGGTCCACACGGACAGTTAGTGTGCGGCAGGCTAGTGTGAGACAGATTTACACCCCAGCTTGCCACGTTCCTGTGGACAAGTCCTGATTCTGCTCACATGCTTTGCTACAGAGCCCTCTAGCCTGCAAACAGGACTGGGACACCCCCCACTCTTAAAGTGACAGCTTGCAATTCTAACACAGTTCTCACTACAGCACAAGAACAAAGCAGTGTTCCCTCCCCCACCCCTACTAAGAAGGAGGGTGATTGCTGGGTGCTGAGCTATTATGAAAATCTGTCCAATGGTGTCCCAGCCTGCAAGGTGATAAACACCCTCAGCTCCTACTGGAGTCGAAGGGTACGTCTATACTTCAATTAGACACCTGCAGCTGGCCCATGCTAACTGATTCAGGCTCACTGGGCTCAGGCTGAGGGGCTGTTTAACTGTGGTGTAGGTGTTCAGGCTGAGGCTAAAGCCTGAGCTCTAGGACTCCCCCACCTTAGAGGGTCCTAGAGCCTGGTCTCAAGACCAAGCCCGAACATGTACATTGCAATTTAACAGTCCCTTAGCCCAAGCCCCTTAGTCTGAGCCAGCTGGCACGGGCCACCAGCAGGTGTCTAACTGCAGTGTAGACATATCCCAAGAGAACTGAGGTTGCTCAGGACTTTCCAAGACATGCTCAGCACCTTGAAGGTTCAGGCCAATACATAGGAGACACAATGATAAATACTCTCTGCCCATGTCTACAGTGTTTCTTTCTATCCATGTGCAGCACGGACGGGCACTGACCTGCCAGGGAAATCGCTGACTCTCTCTCCTGGTCGAGTCGGGGGTTCCTGACACAGCAGGACACTTTCTGGTTGGACTCTTCTGTTAGAACAATGGCAATCTCTGCTTGAAACAGGCCATTGGCCTCTGGGGTTATTTCTTCAGAGGCCAATGGTAAGATCTTCCCCTGGAGATCTCTCCACTGAGCCTTGGGCTGTGGGTACCATCCAGATGATCGACACACCACCTGGATCCCTCCATCCTGATGTCCCTCCACAGAGATGACAGGATCAGAGCCCAAAACTACAGAAGAAATAAATGAACTTGTGATAATCCTGAAGTGCCCAGTAAAGAGCCAAAAGTTTTATTACACTGTTATCAAAAGCCATTTCCCATTAAACTAATAATTGACTGAGAGTTCATAAGTGTGGTTGGTCAGTTAATCTGGTCAGATTCTTATTTGATATATAGTAGAGTTAATATGAATGTCAGGGCTTTTATATGCTCAAACTTGCTCCAGTTTAGTTAAACTGGTTTAGTTAATTCAGGGCAAATCCCTGTGTGGACACTCTTAAATCAAGAAGGAATTGACTTAAGTTAAAGCAATATAAGGCATTTCCAAACCCATTTAAGTGTCCACACAGAGGTTTGCACTAGTTCATCGAAATCAGTGCACACGTATGTGTAGACAAGCCTTAAATTAATTCACAAATAGAAAACATTGTAATAGGGGAGTTTGGGTTGTGTTGGCAGGGCTTTGTACCCTTCCAGAATGCAGAAATGGGTAGCAGAAAAATGGTACCTCTGAAAGCCAGGAAATACACTCAGCAAAACAGAAATACAAACACTAGATAGAAGGAAATGACGGGTTAAGGTCACGCCTCCCACACCAGATCACACTTGGGTTTTTTTAGTACTGACAAGCTAAACTGAAATAAAATTCTCTTAATCTGAAGCAAGAGTCTTGTACCTTAACCAGGTGTGAATTCAAACAGATTTCACTATTGTGTGTCAGTGTGTATGCAGAGAGGCCCTCAGGGAGTTTGGAAATTTCACACAGACCAGCCTAGAGAAGGAAACAATCTCCCAGGAGAGACAGAGAAGGGACGGGTGTCTGGAGCCTTCCCCGTGGGATTCTTGCCCAGAAGAGCACAGGCTACGGAGTCCTCTCCCAGCAGGGGTGTGACTCACAAGGCTTTGGTCCGACAGACTCATGGGAAATGCCCCAGCGCCACAGACAAGAACTGAGGTTAAAGGGCCTCTGGTGGAAATTATATGTACCCGTCCCATCCCCCGTGATTCTGTGTCTGATCCTTTTAAACAATTCACTGATTCCAGCTAGTCAGGGATTAGCAGGTGTAAGGTCTGGGGACTTTTTTCTGCAGCCACATTAGGAGAGCAGCAGCCATGAGCCAAGAAGCAGAAAGTCCCATCCTCACATTCCATCGAAATTACATTAAAACAATGTAATATCGAGCTGTTAAGAAGGTGATCTTCCCCTAATAGTGCCCACCATCACCACATAAACCAGGAATCTCTTAAGATGTTTAAAGAAAACTTTGCCAGATGGCATTCTGTCTGGCAAGGAATCACTTATCAACAGTTGTGGGTGTGAAACCTCTACTTCATTATTGTTTTGCCTTTATTGTCCCTATTTCTTTATTGTTTAACTGTCTGGTTTCTGTTTGGTTCTTTGAGTGTTTCTGTCTATTACTTAACTAATTTTGCAAGATTTAAATCAACTAAGGTGGTGGGGTATGATTGGTTAAAGAATTGTTTCACAGTTGTTAGGATTGATCAAAGAATTATTTTGTAATATTTTAGTAAAATGATTGGTTAAGGTATAGCTAAGCAGGTCTCAAGTTTCACTATGTAACCTGGGGTCCAAGGAGACCAACAGAAGGAACAGAAGAAAAGAAGAAGAAAAGACCTGGAAGAAGAAGAACTCACCTGTAAGACACTGCCTAAGATCAGAGCTGGTATGAATCTTCTGCATGACTGTGATGGGCAGCAACCAGAATGCAGATGAGACTGACCTTGCCTGGCCAACAGGGAAAGTCCGCCTGCCTGATCAGGATTGGTGAGCATAGCATTGTATGCTTAGCATGTGTATTCTGCTTGATAATTGTTAATGAATAGAGGATAAGGGTATTACTGTGTAAGGGTCTTTCAATGGTAAAAGACCCTGCAAATCTGCAGAAGAGTACGCCCTGAGCCCTAGGAATTGGGTAAGGGTGGGGTGTTGTAGAGTGTGCAGGTAACACAGGTGAACAAAGGAAAAAGTTAATGAACTCTTGCAGTATGCTCAGTAGGGCATCTCCAAGAGTAGGAGACAATTCCACTCTCAATATAAAGGAAAAAAGTACCAAAGTCTTCAGTTAGACCCAGAGGGGAGGTGAAGATCTCTGCCCTGAATGCTGATACTCACAGGCCTGCTTTTACTGATTGCATCAAGAAGATATTCACAAAGATACGGATACCAGCTTTTTGGATGAACTGGATGCTTGCTGCTGGTTCAACTCAGAGCAATGTGGTGGCATTAATGCCAAATCAGCAGTGTATGTTTTAAATGTGCAGTGTGTGTGGCCTGTGAACTATTTGGTACTGAAGAAATCTGTATGTTTGATGCTAATTTTCTTGGTGCTGTTTGTAAAGTATTTGCTGTATGGATGTCATGATAAGATTGTGTCTAGATTTATGAGGAGTCTCAGTTAACCCTGTTCCCTGGGGTGGAAGGAGTTACCCCGCTGCGCTCCAGTTTGTGCCTGTTCTTGGCCGGAGCCGCTCTGCAGAGCAGACTCCATCTTGGCCACGAGGGGTCTATAATTACATATTAATGCCCACAAACTACTTGCCAATGCAGAATTAAGGCTGCCCAGCAGGGCTTTGTGCATTTCCAAAATGCAAAAAGCAGCTAAACTTAAACTCCTGAAACCCAAGAGATACAAAGTAATGGCACACACCGCCCCAGCCCTGCCACCTGGACTCTGCCTCCTGGGGCTGGCAATAAGCTCTGGGAACGGTTCAGTGAGGGTGGTTCCATAATACACAGGCATGACGGAGACTGTGTTCAGAGTCGCTGTAGTGACTGATGGAAGGATTAATTCAAGCAGGCTGGCAGAGCTGTCACTGCAATATGAGGAGATGTACATGTACCTTGAGGGATCACTACATATGTCTCATTTCAGTGCTGAGGTCTGTAGGCAGTGTCTGTAGAAGTGCACAGAGGTGTCTTCTTGCCATGGGGATTGTCAGCAGTCTGGTGTTCACTGCATCTGACCTAAACCTCATGTCCTGGTTACAGACCTCGCTACACCTGTCCCCTTCTGGTCTCTCTGGCAGCACCTTCAGGTATCAGGCCTCCTGCCTTCCCCTGTCATGGGGGGCGGGGGGAATTCCTCAATTCGCCCATTCTTATACCAGGCGCTGGGCTACAGGACTCTGTGTATCAACCACTGTTACCCCGTGGGTGCCAGACACAAGCCGAGATCAATCCCAGCTGATGACATCAGCTTGGGGAGGATCAGCCATTGTCTGGCCCGAGGTGTGCACAAAAAATTTGTAATAACCACAACATGCCAATATCACCTAACTTGTTGGGGTGTTTGTATATCTCATTAATTCCTTGCTCTAATGATCTCAAATTTAGCTCACTAACCCTGTCCCAGACTCCAATGTGTCGCAGCAATTTTCAAAACAATCTGAGTATGTGTGTGGATTTTAGAGCCCTTAGACAAAACAGCCGTTAAACAGTGAACTAGAATAAACCTTAATCAGAGCAGAGCTACTGTCCCACTATGAGACAAATCAGGTGGCATCTCACAATGACCCCTCAGACTCCACTTATTACCCTTTTGAAGATGCCAAAGTATCATAACAAGTTACTGACCTGCCACCTGTAGTTCCAATAAAGCATCTTTATAAAAGACACTGGACTGAAAAAAACACTTGTACTGCCCATCGTCGGAGGGTCGGATATCACGTATTCTCAGGAAAACTCTCCCATTGGTGATGTCATCTCTCAAGAGCTCAGTTCTTCCTCTATATTCCGGCATCTGCTCTCCATACTGATCCTGCCCATCACGGTACAGGTGCACGACTTCAGAGTTCTGGGATCGTAACCATCCCACCTCCATGTTTTCAGCGCTCATCCTGGGA